GCTGTAGAAAAATTTGTTCTACATGTCTAGTCTATGTGTTCTCTGGTCAGTGATACACTTTAACAAAATCATTATACTCTGATTTCCCTTTTTCAATGGGTTCAGAGTATAAAACACAGTTTAGCATTTCGAAGAGTTGATTCTTTAGTGTAAATTTACTTACATTTAGTACAGAAATATTGAACTTTTATTTGATATCAGCAACATGACTTGATATTTTAAATTTAAATACGTAACTACTAATACATATACAGAAAATATTAACAGCAAGATTTATAATGAGATACTGCAGTATATAAAGAAACCGATTAACTTGCTTAATTCTATTACCTATTAATTCTCCCGTAAACATAATTATAATAGGTAATATCATCGAGACAATATTATTTTGAATTTTTAGCTGCTTATTAAAGTAAAATATCTCAATCAATATACATAGAAAAACGGGAATAAAAAGAGAATTTGAAACATAGCATGATACGATATAACCTAAAACTGAAGCCATAAAAATGTGAACCCTACATCTAATATATTTATTTTGAGTTTCACGGTTACTACTGGACGAAAAGCGCGTAGTGGAGAAAAATAGTTCTTCTTGAGATACTCCAACACCGATAGGAACATTTGGCTCAACTTCTGGGTCTGAATAATCTTTTGCTGTACCATCTGTAATACAAGTATTAAATTTAACACTCGAAATGTATCTTGAGTTTGTAAATGAATTGGAAATAAAAGGAAACATTATGTATGTATATATACCGTGCATCACATGGCATATAAATAAATACATACATATGTACATATCCATTTATTTATTTATAATTACTAATGATATGGCATCATTTAATTCGGGATATACATAGTTCATACCCGTATTATTGGATTCAACTAATTTAACTCCTCCATTTAATTTTTCTAAACGGGCCTTGGCTGATTCCAGAATTTTTCTTCTTCGGGCTTCTCGTCTTAAGTCAGCGCCACTTAATTCGGAAGCTTGTCCTGTTCGCGATTCCATTTGACTTGAATTTAATTATTTTGAAAATTTTAACTGTATGACATTTAAAGTACTAATTACAAACATGAGCTTTGCAATTTTGTAGTTGGGCCAACATAGCGTCCACTATTAGCCTCAATCTTAAACATAACACTCTAAGCAGTGTTGCCAATCAACTTTTTTTGTTCATGCTCTTTCCCTCTCTCTTCTCTCTGCTCTCTTAAATATGTATATGTGTGTATTCATGTGAGTACAAGCAGAAGCTCACGAAAATTGAAATATCTTCGCAGCGAGCACCCATGTCTTCCCTTCTTTGTGAAGAGCATACCGAACTCTGCAAACCGTTAGAAAAGCTCGTACAAATATTTGCGTATTCATATCATCATTTTTTTTTTTTTTTTTTTTTTTTTTTTTTTTTTTTTTTTTTTTTTTTGCTTACCTAAATGAGTAAAAGCAGTTCTCGTTGAATAGTAAACATTACATATTGGCGATCCTGGGACTGTGGTTATTCATTCCACTCTATTCTTAACACTGATATTTATTGAACAAAAAAGTTTAATCTTGTTTTAAAGTCTAGAGCTACAAAATTTCGTTTATTGAAGATACTGTAATTTACAGATTTTGTAATTTACAGATCTTGTAATAAACATGTTTCCAGTACGAGAGACTTGTGATAGTTTCACCTCAAAAATATTTATTTAGCAAATAAGCTCTCATAATATTGCATACTCTGCAGACATAAGGTTTCAGAGTACTTTGTATTTGCTCGGCTCTTCACTTTTAGGCTCGGGCTACTAAAAATTTGGAAACACAAAATCATTTTTCTTCATGCGTTCGGCCGAGATGGTCGACTATTGAACAAAAGATGCTTCTATGCTCAATGTATCCCTTGCTCGTTCTCTCCATGCTCTCTCTCACCAAATTTCTTTGCGTTCGACTACCGTTCTTCTTTTCTATTTGAAGAGTATACCTAACTCTTCAAATCGTTTACCATGCGAGAGGGTATGAAAGCGTTGATGCGCATAATGAAAATGTTTTCTAGACGAGCATGCATACACTTACAGTCCCTTGCTACATGTATGAGCATTTGTATGCCTATATGTGAAGCTTTATCTACCTGTAGCAATTTTAAAGCCCAGGATTTTCATTTCGCCGATCTTGTGAAGTGCTCACATACACACATACAATTGCTTAAAAACATTAAGTTTATAATATATATAATCAACATAAAGTAAAGTTAAAGCTCACGAACCTATTCAAATAAGCCAAAATATATCAAACAAGAAGACTCTAGTCGACTAGACTACTCGAAGAGAATTTACTTGTCGAATAATTTCTCTTGTAGTTCAACTATATTCATGAAACTTTCAACACGTGATTTTTCAATAAGCTAGAGCTGGACCTTCCAAATTTTAAATGTAGACCTATATGTATTTTATATAATTTCGATTTTTGTTGTAATTTACTCTCCGCCCCCTCACCTCTACCTATGTAAAAAGCGTATTTCAAATACTAGAAGCTTGTGCTTTGGCATATACACGCTTTTATTGTTATGATAACATAGCTCATCAACAAGAAAAGTTATTAGGCAATTAATTTTCTATAGTAAGTCACACTGCATCCAATGCGTGTTTATGCTTGCATCTCTATCCTTTTCTGTGTGTATGCTTCTTGTGAAGGCAGAAAGACTCGGAAGGATTATTGTAAAATATCAATTCTTTGAAGCGTTTAGGGGATTTCGTAGTCGAGAAGTCTCGACTAGAGCTTTCTTGACACCGTGAACCCATTGAAAATGAGAAATCAGGGTATAATGTTTTTGTTGAAATATAACAGGCAGAAGGAGGCGTGGAAGACTCAACGAAGCATATGTATTCTTGATCAGGGCGACGAGCTGAGTCGATTTAGCCCTGTCCGTCTGTCCGTATGCTTGAACGCGTCGATCTCAAAAGATATAAAGCTACATATTAATATTTGTTTCCTAGGTCCGTGTACGTGTGTATAACGCGCATATCGAGTTTTTCTTCGAAAATCGATAACTAATCCCGTCATTTTGTTCTCGATTAAAAACATAAGCGAAAATTAGTAATAAATGTATATCTGTTACATCTTTTGCGCTAGAGTTGCCAAATTATGTAAATTCATATGTACTTTATGGAATTTTGTTTTTTGTTAAAATTTACCCCCATCAAATATTAGAGACTTGTACTTTGGCCAATGCATTCATTTCAATGTTATAATCACGATATGAAGATAGTCCATCCACAAAGTAAGTTATTAAACAATTAAGATCCTGTAGCAAGCTCACACTGCAGCCAATGCTTGTTTATGCGTGCGTGTCTATACGCCTGTGTGTGTTTCTTGTGTAAGCAGAAAGACGCAAATAATTATTGAAATATCAGTGCGTCAAAGGGTTCAGGGGATCTCGAGAGATTGCTCGACTATGCTCGACTTTCTTACTTGGTCTTTCTTACTTTTCTTATGTATATCAACGCGTGCGATTGTTTAAATTGCTTATGAACAGAAAGTTTCCAATAACATTATCCGACGTACATACAGTATAAAATTACGTATATACATAAATGGAAAAATGTATTCTTGCGAAGCTTAACATATTGCAAATGCCTCCTTGTATAGTCTCCCACGGTCAAATAACGATTAGATTCTTTACCGTTTCAAATGTGTCAAAATGTGTTTTATTTATATTAAACAATTTATTAATTAGAAAAATAGGCAAATTTATAAGCTGATTTTTCGGAAAGATCGTACTTTGTATGCTGAGCCCTTTACTGTTTTTTTTTTAGAAGCGTTCAATATTGAGCGTACTTAAAAATGTATTGGTCTCAATTTAATATTCTTACGAACTGATAAAAATATTTTGGATTTATGAATTTCCGAAAAATCTATGAAATGCGTAATCGGAAATTATATTTTTTTAAATAAAATAAAATAAAATGAAAAACATATCGATTTGTAAGTTTTGCAAGCCATTATCGTTTTATAATTTTAAAATATGTTTAATCAACAGGTACCATGATATGTGCATACTTGGTTCATAGTAAGTTCTTGAATACAGCAGATGAAGCCTTGGCTTTTTATGATGAAAAGCGTACAATAGATCGGAAAGGTGTTACAATTCCATCGCAACGTAGATATGTTCAGTATTATTCAAATTTAATCCCAGATATACATTATGAAGTAGTCAGTCTTTACGTAAGTAACATATATACTTTCTAACTATCAGCACTTTAAACAATACTTTTGTAGATTTCTGAAATCCGTTTTTCTGAGGCAAATTACTTGCATAATATTGGTACAGTGCAATGTTCAATTTCCGATAGGAAAGAGTTTACACCAGAGAAACTTACGGCGCATGTAAGTATGTTGATTTATTTATAAGCCATATTTAAAATTTGTATACCCTGATTCCATTGAATATGTTAAATCAGAGTATAATGGTAGAAGGAGTGATAGAACTCATTAGGTCTATACAGTGACGAGCAAAACAGTAACACGAATTTAATGTTGCAACTCAAGGGTCTGTATTTTCGCTTCTACTCTATAGATGTTCAAGATCCTAATTTTATTTTATTAGTACAATGCTTAGCTGTCTTATCGGAAAATTTGAAAATTCGGCCTAGCGATTCCAGTCTGTTGGCTGTAACAAGACAGTAAGGCAAACTGTCAAGCGCGGTGGCTGCTCTCTTATGGTTTAACAAAGATTGTTTTGAGGCCTTGGTTTTAATCGATGGAATAACGTTTCTGGAGTAATGCCTGATCATTTTACAAAAGAATTTGGGAACATACATTTACAACTGAAAAATGTAGAGCAATGACTCAAAGAACGCGTCCTATTGAATTTCATTGAAAATATATGGAGCAGCAAACCCTTCTGAAATGGCATTAATGAACTAAAAAAATGAAAAGGGCATAGATTCATTATTAAACAAGTAAGAACGTTGCAGTCGGGCGTTACCGACTGCGGAATAGTCATTCACACCCCATTAGCAATTTGGTAGTCAAGTTTTGCTCTAATACTGTAGAAAATTCAGGTTTTCTCGACTTGCCTCACCCCTACTGAACGTAGACACTTTCTTTTTGGTCAGCTCATAGAAAAATTTGAGTTCTTACACTAAAAAAAATGTGAAAATTACAGGGTAAAGAGGCGTAACAAATATTTTTGGGACATCCATAGAGGAGATTACTAGTAACCAGAGCTCGCAAATGAGAGTTGATCGTTTTTTCGTATATGCTTTGCTTCGTAACATAACCCAAAAAATTGTGCAGACACCATCTCGCTCTGAGCGGCTCTCTTTGTTTTGCTTAGAATAGGTTTCGGTCAGACGCATTGCAATGACGTAAGTCGTGTGACGCTCTCAAATGAGTGTCGCGTAAAGACTAATACGATTTTCGCTCACCTAATGACTCTCAGCAAAAGACAGCTTGACTAAACAACTCAAAAGAAATGATCTTTGCTTTCGTGTACATGTAAATACATACATGCGTACATTCATATAAATGCCAAAGAACACAAGCATAGCGTGTAATTACCCATACAAACGCAAAAGACAGTTTGCTTCATTTATTTAGTTTAACTCAAGATATGAAAACAGAAAAACCTGTCTCGTCTAAGAGCGCTAATAAAAAATATGCTCGATTGCTGTTAGCTAACAGATAACAATTTGTTATGAAAAGTGGATATTTAGATGCCGAACACGATTTGCGACCATTCCAATTAGTCCAGATAGTACCACGGACGGTCTCTTCATCTTCTAGGACTCGAATCAATCTTGGAACCAGGAGTTATCGCGCATGAGCCTTCAAGGTGGAGTCCGCAATTTACTCTAAATGAGCGTTGCCCTCTGTATGCCTGCGACCAGGTCATACTTCTTCCGCAGCACAACCTTTTCAGCGAAGTCATAGACTGTTTTCCAAGCATTGTTCAACAATGTAATCCGTCAGGAAGGTCAATCCGTCAGAAAATCTATTGGGCATCTTGACTAAAGGGATTTTGCTAAGTAGAAACAAGTTGGAAATGTTATTGAATTTTAAAATTCCAATTTTTGGGACTGATTGCACATCCAAATGGTCTAAGTCCTAATAAATTCAATGGCAATACGATAAAAGGGTTATAAACGAATTGTGCTCTTTTTAAAATGATATTATTTGCAACAAATTTAATTGATTTTTGTTGATATTTTCTAGTTTTCCTATTACACAAAGTATCATTTTTTTCCATTTCCCATTTTCAATGTGTTCAGGGTATAATGCGAAAATGTATGTAACAGGCAGGAAGAGGCATGACAGACCCCATAAAGTACAGTTACGAACTAAATTATAGGCACAGCAAGCATCTTAAACTTTATAGCAACTTTTAAAATATTTTTAAGCATTCCTTTAAGAAAACAAAAATTGCCTAAATGGAAATGGATATTTATTCTATTATACAACAAAAATATTGCAAAAAACTGAAATATGAGCTTAGTTGTAGCTTTTCGGCACTTGTTTTAAGGCTATATTTCAAAATATTTAGATAAAAATGTTTGTCCATCATACCTTCTACAAATACCACACATGCAACCCCAGACCATCACCCCACAACCACCATGCTTAACTCTTGGCGTAACATTGTTTTTGTCAAATGCAGTATTCGGTTTTCTCCAAACAGATTTATGCCCATCTGATCGAAATATTTTGAATTTGCACTCATCACAGAACAAGACTTGACTCCAATAACCTGCATATCCCTGCCCATTTTTCTTTTAGCTTCAGCAGCAATCTGTGTTGATATTATTTTGCCATTATGGCATTATTAAAAAAAGTTAAAAAATATGCCCGGATATTACAAAATTTTGTCAATTGAAATTCAAATTTGTGATGTTTTAAATAAGGAAACATAACAGAGAGTAAAATTGTCAAAAAAAAATTTTTGTTTGCCTAATTAGTCTAACAGTTAAAAAAAAAAAAAATAATTATGTTCAGCAATTTGATGCTTTTTTTGGTTGATTAAGTTTTTTTTTTTTTTTTTTGTATGTTGAAGTTTTTTGCAATATATAATATATAATAAATACTCTACTCTATATATTTATGCAATTTTTTTTTTAAAAAAAAAAAAAAAAAAAAAAAAAAAAAACGATTAAAAATACATAAAAAATTGCTTTAAAGATTAAAATGCTTGCTGTGCCAATAATTTAGTTCGTCACTGTATATCTATTCTTTATCAGTTGCGACGAGCTGAATCGATATAGCTTGTACGTATGAAGCCCGAGATCTCAGAAGATATGAGAGACTGAGACTTGAAATTTTGCATGCTTTCTCGTGTACGCGGTACGACTTATCATATGATTTCCTATAACTCATCGAATTTCTTTTTAGCGACAATAATCGATAAATTGATTTTGATTTTGAAGTGTTATTCGAATACTGAATACATAGATTTAATGAATGCGAAGATTTTATTATTCACAGATAATACTGATCCTCTATCCAAAATATAACAAAAATCAAAATTGTATAAATTGTACATCTAATTTGAAGATCCTGGCTCCAAAAATGTATTAGATAATTTAATGATTTTTATGAATTTTAATGAATAAATTATCAGCGTTTGAAAATGCTCTGCTATCGTAGCATTTCGTTGAGCTCTCGCTATCGCTCTCATTTTTGACGAGAGCCTAACAATAAAAGTTTGTTTTGTCACGTCAAAAGCTACAGATGTAGCGAGTAGCACAAAAATAAATGATGCGCTAAGCTTTGCCGTAGCGGTAACTGAAAACAGATAGCGAAAGCGATAGATGAAAACAGAGATCGAGATGAAATCATAGCAAGATGAGAACAGAGCCATATGAGAGCATAGCGATATGATAACAGAGCGAGATGAGAGTAAAACAAATGTGCGAGAGCGGTATAGCACTAGCAGATCCATTTTGTGCTTGTTTTTACTGTAATTTTTGGTCGATGTTATATTAACGTAGGCATAAATTGTGTAGTTGCAGAAATCATACATCTATATAAATACAAAAAAATTTAATATAAGTATATATATATACTTTTTTTTTGCGGTTGATGTGTTTTAAAATATTTAAAATGGTGTGACATATATGCGTAGTTCTGTAGCTTAAGGTTTTATATTATTAGTTGCAGTACAAATGGCAATTCGAAATTGTTATTATGGTTGAACAGGGCTTTGGAGACTGAGTTTGATCTTGCAAATTATCTTAATAAATATCACACATAATGTATCAAAAATTTCAAATACAAACGAAAAACAAGCTATGCAACATAACTAAATAATATTTTCCTTTAATTCAGGAACTGAAAACATGGGAAATCAATTTCCAAAAAACTTCGATATTGGACATAACTAATTCGCCTTTGATGGTTTCGGGTGATATTAAAGTTGAGCTTACTCAAAAGTCGTCAAGAAAGATGATTTGCAGTTTTTGGGTTAATACATTCTTTATGCAAAATGATGCGGGTATGTATAAATATTAAATTTATTTATGCTGTTTGCGTTATAAGCGATTTATAACGACAGAATACTACATTTTATAGTTGCTTTTAGTTATTAAATAAATAAATTTAATTTGGCCAATAGATACTAATTGAGTTGGTCAATAATAAATAAATAATAACAATAACAATACAATACTTGGCGAATCACACTGAAACTTGGCCAAATTTTTGCCAAATTAAATAAATTTTAATGCAGTATTGTAAGATCTAAGAGATCGGGTCGGCCACCAGTACTATCCGATCGTGACAAGCGCTCAATAAAGCATCTGGTCGACTAGGATCCTTTTTGTAGCGCAGTGCAGATTGCGTCAGAGCTGGGTCGAACAATTGACAAGGAAGTTCACCCGGAAACAGTCCGTAGAGCCATTAAAACCTATAACTTTAGGTCCAACACGCCTCGCAAGAAGCCTCTTGTAAATTTAACAAACAGGAGAATGCGCTTAGAGTTTGCCAAAGCCTACGTGAGCAAACCAATGGACTTCTGGCGGAAGGTCATCTTCTCAGATGAGTCAAAATATACAATTTTTGGCTCAGATGGGCGTCTCCGTGTCTGGAGGAGAGCATTGAACCCCAAAAATACAATAAAAGCCGTTAAACACGGCGGCGGAGGTATTATGGTTTTGGGTTGCATAGCTGCAGCAGGAGTCGGAAATTTGGAATTCAGCGACGGAGTGATGGACTAATATGTATGATATTTAAAAACAAATTGAGAGAGCAGCGCCGGGAAACTTGGAATTGGATCTGATTTCTGGTTTCAACAGGATAATGACCCAAAACATAAATCAATGAATACTAGGTTGTATCTCGCGTACAACACACCACACCTTTTTAGAGACGCCACCATAGAGCCCGGTGATATCCAATTGAGCATGTTTGGAATATGGTCGAAAAAAAAAAAAAATAAGGAAGCACCAAATCAGCAACAAAAACCTCCTTTGAGAGGCATTACACCAAGAGTGGTGCGCGCTGGATCCGAAATATATAAAAAAAACTGGTGCTTTCAATGCCAACTCGCCTCAGAGAGGTGATTAAGATGAAGGGTTATCCCAAAAGATATTAAATTTAGTTAGCTTATATTAGTTTGTAAGAGTACGTAGACTTTTGTTGACGCAGATATTGGAGTTTCTTTTGTTTTTAATTAATATTATTATGTTAAGTTTGAAACTTCACTCTTTTTCATTTTTAGTTTAGAAGAAAATGTATTAGTTTAAATCCTACATTAATAATTTTGAATTTTAAAAAAATTTGGCCAAGTTTCAGGGTGATTCGCGCAAGTACAACAACAGTACTTTAGTGGCACACTGTACTCTTATAAAGTCCTTTTTCCATATTTCAATTAAAATATATTAACAAAAACTCTCTAGTTCAGATTGGTTGATTATAAAATACTTTGATACCTTAGAAGTTTTAACTAAACATGTCCATACGGTTTCGGTCGCATCAACACCGGTTTAGCTCGCTGCGCATTTCCGTCTTTGTCCGTTTCTAGATTTTGCTTACCACTCCACTTTATTCTCATTGACAATAAGAGTATTTTAGAAAATTTACACATGAATTTAACTACGTTTTAAAACAAACGTTATACGACAACAAAGTAAACGCCCATACTACAGCCCAAGCGCAGTCTGTGAGTGTGTTTGCTTGTGTGCATGTGTCCATGTATTGTTTGTTATGTATGTATATTAAGCAGCAAAGAGTTCAAGTAATCCTATAGTCGAATATTATTGACTATTGCAGTCTGCCTTGTTGATGCTTAAATTTACATTTCAAGACGAGCATTTTGATAAACTATTATTATTATTATTTTCTTTTCAGTTCGCATTATTGATGGAAGTACCGTAAAATTTATGCATACTTTAAATAAATCCGAAATTGATGGTGCACATAAAGACAAAGACCATAAATCTTTTTCGGAGGACTTTAAGGTAAATAAAGAAAAATCTATCTGTTATACCACATACTCATTGGGGCGAACAACCAACAGTAAAACCTCGGCAAACTAAAAAAGTAGCAAATTAACAAGAAAAAGGACAGTCCTGAAAAAAAATTAATAGGTAGGCAGAATGAGTGCTAAGATTATCACATAAAGGGCAGTGCTTACATCTGAGTATTGCTAGGGTTCTCTTTTTACAGTTCTCTTGACAGATTGAGTACATCAGCTCTTGCAACTTGATTTTCAAGTCAGAAATGTTTCATTGTGGCTCATTTCGAAGCTTGCCTTTTAATGTTGGTGGCTAGTGCTACCATTTTCAATTAGGCTTTGTCTAGGCTATTTGATGGTCAATCGAAAAATTCCAGCAATTTTTTGTTCGTTTGGCTAAGCACGTTGCTGAAAAGTTTCAGTTCTGGTATTGATGGCCGAAAACTATCTTTTAAGATATTAATGTATTTTTAAGCATTAAGGATCCCTTCAATGAAATTCTGTTTTCCTAATCCTTTGGCAGACATACATAACCATACCATAATGGTCGCAGGAAACTTTACTTTTTATACTTTTATTTATAATGGTTTTGTGAAAAGTATTTAACGACCAGAACAAATCGTCGCAGAATCCATAAAGTATCCGTTCGTCCGTTGAATGATAAGATGGTAAACATCAATTTCTGTCCCAGTTTAAATCCCTTAGAACAATGAGAAGAAACTGTTTCTGGACCGATTCAATACGATCCCGATCAAATTTATATTGTGCTGACCATATAACTGAGGTATACCGTACTAACGATAAAAATAAGTGTTTGGTAATAAATTAGTCTTTAAATTCTTTTGAACAACGTTTAATACATTTAAGAATGCATTTTTCATTATTAAGCTTTAAAATAAATATTTGATGGTTAATGCTCTGCTCAAGTCTGTATAAATGTCGTCAAATTGCAATTTAGTTAAAAACTGACATTGACTAACATAGTAAATTTTGAAATTTACAAGGTCTACATTATTATTTTTCTAATTGCTCCGGAATAATAGCTAGTTTCGCAATACCTCTATAATTCATTTAAAAAAGTATAAAAAGCGATGCTAATATCAACCGATACATTTATAGTCTGTTGAATTAATTCTTTTAGCAAAAAACAAAAATTGCATTAATGCAAGGAGAGACGACATATAAGATAGGGACAATAATACTTAACAAAAATTCAATAATGTTAACTTTTCTTATGATTGCTGTTATACCCTATACAGATTGAAAATAGAAAATCAGGTTATAAGGGCTTTTTCAATTTTGTATGTAAGAAATAAAAGGACGTGTGACGAACCCCTTAAGGTATTTTTATTCTTGATCAGAGCGACAAGCTGAGCCGATTTATCCCTGTCTGTTTGTATATCTGTTCCTCAGTACGTATGAATGAACGCGTTGAACTCATAAGATATAGGAACTACAGGCTTGACATATTTTTGCATGATCAGATCGAGATTGTTTCCAAAAATCGAGAACTATTCAGCAATTAGATTATATAGTCTCCTTATTGGTATACATATATTCATTAATATTTTTAGTCTGTTGTTTAGCCTATTGAAAATATCATTATCATATGATTATAAAAGTGATTATCTGAACTTATGTTTGTATTAATATATAAAAATTTAATTTTAGATCTCTCTCGTATTTATAAATGAAGAAAAACGCACGGACAGTATAAACGCTGAATCCTCAGTAGATAACAGTAGGAGCAATAATAAAAGCTCAGAATTTCTTCCTGGTGATAATGATACGAATCTAAGCAGTGAGGGCTCTGTTTTAAACTCTCCGTCCTCAAGTCGTTTGTTTGAAGGTACATTTCAAACCAGTGATGAAAGAAGTGAGGGGCAATCTCACCTAATAGCAAATAGCAGAAAACTAGTAAGTATACTTTGTTAGATTAAAAAAACCTTGGGACCTAAGAATTTATGATTGTTAGACTAAAATTCAACATAAAAAGTCAGCTATCTCAAAATTTCCTGCAATGGCATCTAAACGAAAACAATCGTCTTCAAAATGTCTACAAAGTGCTGATAGTACCTCGTCAGGCAAGGACAACAAAAAACAGCACATTTTTAATCAACCGTCCGGTAAACAAATCGAAATGGTGCCAAATAATTGGACCAGTAACATGTATGAAAAAGCCTCAGAGGGTCTACATATATTTGATCGATGTAATATTTCCAATAATTCTGGCGGAGATAAAATTTTCGGACAGAAATCACACAATAATTGCAAACGTTCATCTTCTGATTTAAATCAAAGTAGTGAAGAAGGAGACGAGGATTGGGAATCCGGTGAGTACCTCAGTAACATTTTTTTGTGTACCTTTACAATTTTGTATCTGAATTCCCATGACGAAAAATACGAATTTCGATTACTTATTAAAGTTTTGGTTTAATGATCTAAAAGCGCTTTTCGTTACCCTAAGCCTATTAATTTTTCGAGTACTACTGTCTATTATTTAAGGGTCTCCCTTTTCCATTACTCTACGAGAAAAAACACAGCTTTTAAAAAATTAAGAAATCATCTCCTGTGATGCCTTGAACGATGGTTAAAGTTCGATAGATCTTAATTTATTGAAGTTCATATACAGAGTGCAAAAAAATGGTATATTAGTCAATGGACAGCACTATGTGTATTTGGAGCTTCCCTATATCTTTGCACTGTGGTTCCACTTATGTAGACGGGCAGGCATAAATACTTCAAATAGCAGTACAAAGCTTGAAGTTTCACTAAGATTTTTAAATAGTATTTGTTGTACAAAAAATCCGCCAAACAATAATCCCCAATAGATAAAATGTAACAAGTAAATAAACGTAAGCAATAAATAACCAATAACAATTTATGAGCTATTTAAATATTAAAAAACATTTACAGGGGCTGCGGTCTGAACGAATACACTTGACCAACAAAGTCAAACTTTATTTTTGTATTGATCTTTATTCTTCTGAGCCCAAGTTTGTATACCCAGACTCATGCATAATTTCAACCATTAAATGCGTGTGTAGGCTCAGCATTGGCCTATTACATATTCTTATCTTATCGCTAAGTTTGTAAGACTCTGCGTGGGTCTATTAAGTATTCATATAAGGCTCAGCGCTCGTCTCTGGGGTTGCAAGGATTAGTGTTCATTTGTCTATTTATAGAGAACTCGATAAATTATCCCGTTATGTTTTTATCGATTAAAAACATTAAAGTTAAAGTTAGATGCCAGTATAATAGCAGATGACAGTATAATTAATTTTTTTTTTTAAATTTCTCAAATATTCAATGGAATATGTAGAGCATATGCTGAAAGTTTCATAATATTTCCGTTAAATCAATCGACGTTAAAAAATAAAAAAGGGTTTCGCCAATTAAAATACGTATGTGCAGCAGCGACAACAGTTTTCCTATATGTACGTGCGCGCACATATATTCAAACTTCTAGCACATTGTTATAATCAAACCAGAAGTCTAGGGTTCAAATCCAGTGCGCGCAATTAATGCTTTTTTTATTGCCTCAAAATATTTATATATTTAATTAATAAGTTCTCTATTTCAATGCATTTTCCGATATACCAGACATTATATTAATTGAAAAGCTAGAAAGCTGAAATTTGGAATGTAGATCCGCGTCGACCACCCAAGATCACGAGCTATGGCGGAAAGATATCTACTTCCATTGGGGACTTGGCAAATCGGATAAAACTGTATCTCTAAGACTTTTACAGCTAGAACGCTGAAATTTTGCACGTAAGCTAATGTTATGATTATATAAAGATTAATGAAAAATAAGTAAGAAGAATAGTCAAGACTGCTCGACTAGGAAATACCCTGAACCCTCAAATCTGTTATTCTAATAACTGCGGGCAATATTATACGAAATTATATGTTGCATAATTTAATTTCTAGACGTACGATCTTACGAACTTAATCATAATGTTCAAATGTATGTAGTAGTAGCTATTATATCTTCTGAGATCGACGCATTCATACATACGGACGGACAGACACACGGACAGGGCCAAACCGACTCAGCTTGTCGCCCTGATCAAGAATATTTATACTTTGTGCGGTCTGCCACACCTCCTTCTGCCTACTACATACTTTTAACAAAACTAAGAGATCTTATTCATATTATTCATATTGCGCAAACCAATCCGAATTTTTCTCGACCAGATCTGTTGGTCTTATCCCACATTTCTCCAATTTTTTTAAAATATATATTCAAGTTTATTCTTCACATCATCTCTCATTTTCTCGAAACCATCGGCTCAAATTTATAGTTTATTTTATTATATACTTTTTTGTTTTATAAGCAAATGAACCCCTTTCCAAGCACCACATATCAAAAATATATATCCGTGAAAATTGACATTGACATGATGTGCCTATATATAAGTATGTATAAAAATACGTTTGATAATATTAAAAGTTCGATAAAATCACAAATAATTAAAACACAAAGGCAACCTAAACTTAACCTAAATGTATGACGGCACAAAAAACGCATAGTAGAAATTAAGTGAAATTAAGATAGGTGAAATTAAGAATACAAACTTAGAAAACATTAACTAATATAAAACAAAAAAGTTCATTTAAGGGCGCGACGGAGATCACAAAAATTTAATTTTGTTATATGAGATAAGTTTTTAGTTTCGTTCACTGCGCACGCCACGTGTTTTTTTCTCCTGTTTTTGATGCTATTTGTAACGCGTGTGAATGGGATAATGCAAAAATGAGTTTACAAGCTGAGTCGGTTTGGCCCTGTCTGTCTGTCCGTCCGTCCGTCCGTATGTATGAACGCGTCGATCTCAGAAGATA